GTTCATCAGGCTGGGAGAGCTCACAGCGACAAGACTTTGCTTCCTTGTCTGTATAATTGACAGGGTAACCGGTCAAGGGAATGGTTCGTGAGTAATGATGATTGGCCCACCGTCTCCCTGCAAGCCGCGAACATGGCGGATTCTTCTTCTGCTGCAGGCAGGCGGCTTGCTTCGTCGGTCCGCAGTTGTTCGTTCGATCGTCTGCGCGTGTTTGTTTATTTGATAGCGTTGCCGACTACGTTGCCGTTGTTGCCGTGATGCGGTCGATATTCTGATTGACTGGCTCAGTGCTTGTCAATATGGCAGCCGTCCAGAAGCGCGGTCGTGGGGTCAAAGTTCACAGTCTCATTGATAGATGTCGTTGATCATGAACGTGACGTTCGCTTCGCTTGTTGATTTAAGTGTAGCGAAAGCAGATCCCCCTACCCCGATCGTGGATTGAGATATTGGCGGACGTGATACCTATGTTATACGAGGTACAAGTATATGGTTACTATCAGATCAAGTGTACGGTACTACGGTGGCTGAATGGTTCGGGTGCAGGGCCGGTCGGTGTATCTGGGTGCGATAACACAGTTCCGTCATGTCAGAATCTGTTGGTCTTTCCACGCCGCTCTATCGCGCACGCGCCCACGCACCCCCCATACAGACATACTCGTTCACTTTCGTTTTCTCTTTAGCTTTCCCTTTCTCTCTCACCCATCTATCTCTCTCTTCCTCCCTCTCCGTCACGCTCGCTCGCTCACACGGAATCATGCATCGCACTCTGATGTGTCGCTGTGCTAGCGTACAGAAATCTCACGCTCACATGGATTCGCGGAGATCCTCACCTCCCCCTCCCCTCTCTCTACAATATGTAGGTCATTGCTGCGGTAGTACTAGTAGTGGTAGTAGTAGTAAGACACGGAGGGCAGGTGTCGTAGTCGTCGTCTGCAGCCGTGTAGGCCTACGTGTGAGCGGAGTACTAGTAAGACTAGATACAATAATGTAACCCAAACCCAGGATAGGGGGGGGGGGATGTAACATCTATCCTACTGTCCAGTAATGTAACATTCACTGTCCAGTGTTTTCTCGCGGTCAGGTGATCACCGCCTTTCTATCCAGGGCCGTCCTGCTGTCACTGTGTGTCGTGTTTGCTCTAGACCTCATGTACATGTACGAACAGTTGTCTTTCTCGTCATATAGCTCAATCATAATCAATATTGAACTCGTCTCGCTCTCCCGCAGTTGTTTCAATCATAAGAGACATCTAGTCAGTTTCTATATGCCATCATGTTGGTCGCACAGAGGGCTGTGACTTATTAGTCTGTCACCAACCGCTCGGCGGCGTTGGTGCTCTGCCGCTCGGCGAGCAACGTCAGCGCCACTCTACGACGATGAAGTGCGAAATAAGCTGCAATCAATGGAGGGGCACAATTTGCTTCGTCTGCCAGATGCCTGGCTGAATCTAATGATTTTTCTCTTCGTGTTGTGTGCGCGTGTGTGTGCGTGCGTGTGCGCATGGGTGCGTGCGTGTGCGCGCGTGTGTGCGGCGTGCACAATGCGGTGGCGGTGGTAATGGTTTCTTTTTGTCGCCGTCACGTTTACGCTGTTCTTGTCCCGTTCTGTCGATACACGGCATGCGAGCTAGGGAAGCAGAACGCATCGCCTGCGTCTAGAATCACTCGGTGAAGTATCGTGATCTATAGACAAAGCTAGAGACTTTGCGCAAGTAGCAGAAACAATAGAGCAGAACATACTAATATAGCGATGGCAGTAGACAGAGAGAGGGTTCCTTTCTGATTGTAATCCTTTATTGCAATAATGCTATCTCTATCTTTTATGGTAAGCGGGTTCCGATAATCTGATGTGTGACTCACACATCATGTAAGGTTCGTTGCACGTTACATTCGCAACTATGGAAATATGCTCGTAAATTTACAAACTCTACTTCACATGAACCGTATTTAATTCGTCGAAAAGGTAAATGAATGTTCGGTTGTCTTGGTTTGAATTGTTCGGACATTCATGATTCGTTTACTCGGCACGGAGTCGGAACATGTAAATGTGAGCGTAATCTTACAGACTCTACTACTGTCACGAGGCTTCTGTTGCTGCGTGGCAACTTGCTTTCTTGATAAAAACTCTTCCCTTTGTATCAATGGCATAATGGCGAGCGGTGGAAGCAGCTAGTGTCGTAGGCGTGTGAATTTTTTTCTGAAGAAAGCAAGTTTACGTGCAATGACACACGTACCTAGTGAGAGTAGTGTTTGTAAATTTGCTATCATAATTTCGTGCCAACTCCTGAGTGGCTGAGAGATGTAATGGATTTATCTCGTCGGACAACTATTTTCTACCCCCCCCCAAAAAAAAATACCGACGTTTAATGAAATATTCATGGCTATGTGGGTTGTTTTTGTGTGTTTGTGTGTGAAACTTGGTGTTCGTCTACTTGATTCGTTCCTTGTGACATACAGTTTTGTATCTACGGTCTTTCATCCGAGATTAAATGCTGATCGGAAAAGAAACCGGGCTTCTATTTTGATTCTCGCGCCTTGACAAGGCAATGTGTACCTTGTAGCTTATATACGACTGTTACATTTTAAATGCAATCGTCAGTGTTAAGGTTTTAACCACATACACACGCACGCACGTACATGCACGCACATACAAACACACACACGCACGTTATGCGCATGCGCACGTACACACGCACACATGCACGCCCGCGCGTAAGCACAGGCACGCACGCACATGCACGCGCGCACGGACTTGCGCAGCTATATTTTCATCTACGTCGTACGTACAATCGATCTGACTATTGTGTGCGCTTTTCCGTTCTCTCTGTATTCTTCTTTTAAGAATCGACACGAGTGCGTTGTATTGTATTTGTTGTAACCTCCTGATTAAACTACAATGCCCCCCACCAGCTCCTCAGGCACGTAGAATTTACATCGCACACACTGCCTGCCGATACCTTACAATACACGTACACGTTAGGTGGCTTCTTGCAGACTAAAGAAAACTATTTTAGCTTCAAGTGAATTCGCACGATATTACGGGAAGAATGTTATATATATATATATATATATATATATATATAATAAATTATATTATATACGTATACAAATTCTTTGCAGCATCAGTTCGTCGGGTTCTGCGTGTATTATGAAAACCTAGTAGTCGGCGAAAATGTCAAACACGATATGTTTATGAGTGAGATGTTAGGCGTATTGCGTTTGTACCGACTCGGGAACTGCATTAAATCCTACGCACGAGATTTTGTAGGGGAGACCGTCTTCAGATTCGTGAGCGTTAGCACCAGTTCACACTCGTCGTCAGCGAAACGTTAGTATGAAGGTGCTAGAAGGTACTAGGTGGTATAGACTGAATATATGCGGGCTTATTCCTTCAACAAACCTACAACTCGTACGTACGCGCGCACATACACATACACATACACGTATATATGCACACACGCACATACGCACATACACACGCACGCACATACGCACACATGCACATACACGCACATACGCACGCACGCACATACGTACACATGCACACGCACGCACGCATTTACATACTATTACAAATTTACGCGGGGCGATTGAATCAGTAACGCGGGCACGCAGTGAAACTTGGTACTCCCGTACGTCACCGTGCCCGCACGCTGACTCATCTCTTATAAACGTGATCATTCCCCCACCGCGTGCGTGCTTCGCGTGCCGTGCTTCGCGTGCGTTGTGTGCTACGCGCGGTTGTGTTATGAGTTTTCCAATTTGCAAGATCGAAACATTTCGTTTTTCGCTTACTTTCAGCAAAGCATCGCTGCTTGTTCTCAGACAGAAATAGCGTGCAGTTAGCTGAGGTTATCCGCCACACTAGTTGGCATATATGAGTCATTTTTTGTGCATTGCCATTTTCTTCTTTGATTCCGATAATAGAATAATTCTGTCAAATGCACGCGCGAGGCTACCGTAAAGTCTGACACGCTCGTAAGAGCAGAATCGCGTTTTCCACGCGTGCCGCAGCGCGCGCGCAGTTGTCATCGGCGGAGTGTAAGGGGGCAGTCTAAACATAGGATGAGCGTAATCAATAATGATTTACGTGAGGCTGAGGGCGGCAATCCGTGGCAGATAACGCGGGCCTGGCATTGATCGAGCCGCATTCTCTGCGCGCGGGTGCCATTTAAGCTGTTCGCAAGAGCCCGGAGTACGCTGTAGCGAATGAAGTGAGGAGTCTAGATCGATATGGCTGTAGATGGGTCACCATTCATTATTACACACGACGACTCGCCTATCGGCTATAGCCTTCGAGGCAATCCCCGGACCGTGCAATCTTTTACAGTCCTAAGGACCAGCGCTTTGGCGTTGGGCTAGTACGTGCGAGAGAATAGGAATTTACAGGATCCCCCTTGCCGCTACTACAGTCGTAGGTGGGAAGTACTCTGCATGTGATTAGCAAAAAGAAACAAGGGAATCACACACGCGGGCTTGTAGTGCTGACAGATGAGTGACAGCTGGCGAACAAGGACAGCAGCGTAATTTGAGAATCAATCAGCTCCTGCTTACAATCCGCGCAATACATTATAAAGAGGACTCGGGTTAATGACTTATAGTTGTTATAGATTGCAAGTCTCGGCTACCGCTGTGTGTGGTGACTGGTGCGTCAGACGTGCCGTGCGTGACCAGTGCGTGCGTGCGGTGCGTGGTGTGTCGTGTGCGCCCCACAATGCCGTGCGTGCGTGCGCGTGCGTGCGGCTTGTGACGACTGCGGTTATATGCTTAAGTTGAACAAAGATTAACCCTCCCCTAAATACGCCTGCGTTGTAAATACAATACAGTAAACCAACCTCAGACCTCAGATGCGATTTCTGAGTAATATTTCAGGTGCAAATGTAACATTTGAGAAATGCGAAGCGCAATCGTGGGATAAATATAACGCGTGAGCAGTATATAGATAGATGGAAACATGCGCGTGCATTGCTTGACAATAATCGTTGCTTCTTCTATTTGCAGGTTTTCATCTGAGTGGAACCGTACGAGAGGGTGGGAACCCAATATATACAGACAGGAGAACTATATAGGGTATCAATTAGCTTTGACAGGTACGTGTTTTGTTCATAGAATTTGTAAACGAGCTTTGGGGTGGTGGCTTCTACATGCTGCGCCATGCATGGTACGGGCTGCGAAATTAGTGGTAGTCTGGTAGTCCGAACCGAGTTACTTGCATGCGAGAAGATGACAGCAACAGCTAGCCTGCCCCATCCATCCTTCCATCCATCCATACATACATCCATCCATCCATCCATACATACATCCATCCATCGATCCATAATCCATCATCCACTCCATCCATCCATCCATCCATCATCCATCCATCCATCATATCAATCCCACTCCATTCCATCTCCATCCACTCACATTCATCAATCTCCATCCATCATATCCTCATCCTCCATCATCCATCCAAGTCCATCCATCATCATCATACCAGCCATCCATCCTGCCATCGGACCTAATACATTCATTCAATCCATCCAGTCCACCTCCCTCCTCCATCTCCTACCCATCATCCATCCATCCATCCATCCAATCAGTCAGCCATCATCATCCATCCATCATCCATCCATCATCCATTACACCTCATCTCCAATCCACTCCATCCATCATCCATCATCCATTATCCAATCATCCATCCATCATCCATCCATGCCAATCCATCACCCCCACCCACCCACCATCCATTCCACATCCATCCATACACCTACTTCGACCCTTGGAGTTAGAGCATTTACAATGTTGGATTCACCCGATGTTACCTGAGAGCATTATCATTAAAAATGTATAATATATATATACGTATAATACGTTTTATCATTGTTACCCCACGTGACCGGTTGTATATCTGCGGTCAAACTGCTATAGACTGACACCGCGAGTCGTTGCTCAGTCTTGTGGGAGCAGGCACAGCGACTTCTGGCGTCAGTCTAGCATCGTGGGCAAGTTTTCATTTTGAAAGGCGTGAGCATGTATATCTATTCTAATCAAGCGTGACTCTCACGTGACATCAGCCATCCCACGTTTATCTACACACACGCGTACGCGCACGCATATGCACGCACACACACACACACACACACACACACCTACGCACGCACGCACACATGCACGGATACACACACGTACACACACGAACACACACGCGCGCGCACGCGCACACACGCAACTTTTAATAACACGCGCCTGAGATGATTTTCTCACAAGGTCGTTAAAGACAGATCTTAGGAAAACCGACAAGGCTGCACAACAGTATTCTGGCGTGAAATCAAAACCCGCGTGGCAGCCGGAAACGACGGCGTAGGCAGTTTAGTGAATCTAGTGAATCCTTCGTACACGATGCTCGAAGAAAAACAATGAGATTTCATTAACAAAAAACTTGCGTTTGAAGACCCCCGTGATTTGTTTGAGACTGCCCTTTTTTATTTGTTTTTTGTTTGTTTTTCGGTAATACTTAATTACAACTGGAGCCACCTGCAGAACGCTTTTGTTTCGAAAAAACCCGCCTATGGTGTCTACGCATGCTGATCAGACTGTCCGAAATCCTGAAATAACCCTCAGCTCCTAAAGATGTGTGTCATGTAACCTGTATTTAAAAATATGGGGGTGTTTATTAAAAAAAACTTTACAAAACCCGACTGACAACGTAACAAAATAACCGAAATTGGAATCTTGACAGTTATATACCTGTCACTTGCAGTGATTGCCATTGTGACACACAGTGGTTAGCAACCAGCATCTAGTCATTAGCAATAAGCTTGGCTTGACATGAGTTTTTTGAATAATGCACCAAAATACATGTACTGAAGAACTGAACTATGCACACGTGAATACATACACGAACTAAAAGATTTGTTTCTTTCGTTTTTCCAGATGCAAGATTACCTCAGTCACGTGTAGTTGCGGGAACAAAGACATATTCTGGTGCCAGCATGTGGTGGCGCTATCGTTGTATAGGATACGGAATGCGGACTCAGTACAACTGCGGGTGCCTATCTCTGGTTCGTATTAACCACTCGTCCTAAAAATATGATTATTGCAAATTCCAATCATGGTTGAATGTTATGTTGTATACTTACCTAGCATATTGACATTGTACGGAGGTGCACTGCATTTACAGTAGTATGATCGCTGCCTGAGTGTTTATGCCTTCCCACTGACACCTGAGCTCCTATGCTAGGAACAGCGCCACTGTTTCCATGAAGACGATTGATTTAGAATATGAACTTGTTCTGTTATTGTAAGCTCGCATATTAAATATCTGCACGTTATTAATTCTGCTGAGCACGTTTAACGTTTCGCACGTGTGCGTTTCAGTTTAATACAGATTGTTTGCAATTTCTCAGCGAGTTTGCGCACCTGATTTCTCCTGTATACTGAGAAAACATGACTACAAAGTTTTGCCTTAAAAATGCCATTTTAAACATTAAACAAGGAGTAAGCTAATTATTAATATAATTGTATAATTAATAATTGGTTTAATATATAGCATTAATGTTTAACGTAATGCAATTTATGCAAATTATAATTTTACTCCTAATTATATGTCGCATTAGCTTGTATTAGAGAAACCTGGTTCACATTTCTTCACTACGTAAGGTCAGTAGTATGTATAATCCCAAATGGTTCGTATAATCATGGTAAGATGTAGAGGTGACCTGTTCACGCCTCGTATGATGCCACTACGATGATTTTGTGTGGTATTAATTAGCCACGAGTAGTTAGTTGTAGGTGTGTAACTGTGTATATGTCCCGCGGGGGGCGGACAGTGTACATGATCTCATATTTCAGGACGAATTTGACACAAAGGAATTGCGATGAATTCGTGATTGCGAATCGTTCCATTAAGGATTATGATGCCCGTTGTTAGAAACATCATAAATAGTTGAGTATCGTAGGTCTGAAATGTCAAAGCACTTGCTCGGCACTGCATTGTAAGAGCTATAAAATTGTATATTTATGATGTTTCTGACAACGGTTTCCACGTTTCTGTTACCAGTATGTCGCAAATTCGCACGGTAAGGATGGTGTTCAGTGCCGCGTTGTATTAGTTGCAATCAAGATGTTCTATTTTCATATTCATGTTATAACCCATGACGTGTTATATCGCGAGGGGGAAGCTTGTCGTAATATCAAAGCAGTGACTGAGACTTTTTGTACGCATAGTTTTCATATGTATGTTTTGACTCTCTCCTTCCTCGGGTTCAGTCCATTGAAGGTTAATGAAGACTGAAGATGATTCTTTATGGGGATTGTGAGGTTATCCGTTTACAAACACGAGAACCTAACGTGCTTAAAGACGCGCTTGCTTAATGGTCGGTCGTTGCAACGTCGTCTGGTTAAATTGAAATGCTCGGCGTGATTGGATGGTTGGATTTCGTTATCCTAGTTCCAAGGTGCAATGCAAATTCATGCACTTTTCAGTCATATGCGGGTGCCAGCCACGGGGAATTTTGGAATCAAGTCTATTGCGCCACCTGCTTATCGGTACCCACCGAATAATTCATAAGCGGCAGCGATCACATTTTAATAATTTCTTCCGTAGAGCTCGCGTTGTATTGATGTACAGTTTGGACATCAAATCGGACCAACAGTGCGCGTGGGAACACATGTGAAGTCGCATCGCACAGGCACTTGGGACAGAGTCAGTAAAAGATGAAAATAATATGAACACACATTCACAAAAGCTACCGCTTTATTACACTTTTACTGTTGTGTCACTGTATATCAACTTGCTTTCACAAAAACTAGCTAAGTATATTATATTTTTGTAAATGTGCGTTCATATTATTTTCAATTTTTACGGACTCTGTCCCAAGTGCCTGTGTCGCAACTATTACAAATTTACGCGGGGCGATTGAATCAGTAACGCGGGCACGCAGTGAAACTTGGTACTCCCGTACGTCACCGTGCCCGCACGCTGACTCATTTATTATAAATGTGATCATTCCCCCACCGCGTGCGTGCTTCGCGTGCGTGCTTCGCGTGCGTTGTGTGCGTACGCGCGGTTGTGGTATGATGTTTTCCAATTTGCAAGTGAAACTTTCGTTTCTTCGTTACTTTCACATGAAGCCATCGTGCTTCTTCCAGACAGAAATAGCGTGCAGTCTAGCTGAAGGTTATCGAACAAACGGAGTTCATATTTTCCTCTGCATCTGCCATTTTCTTCTTTGATTCCGATAATAGAATTAATTCTGTCAAATGCACGCGCGGCTACCGTAGTCTGACACCGCTCGTAAACCGAATCCGTTTTCCACGCGTCCGCAGCGGCGCGCATTTGTCACGCGGAGTGTAAGGGGGCCAGTCTAAAACTAGATGAGCGTAATCCAATAATGTTTACGTGAGGCTGAGCGCATCCGTGCAGAATACGCGGGCTTGGCATTGATCAGGCGCATTCTCTGCGCGCGGGTGCTCATCTAAGCGTTCGCGAGCCCGTGAGTCTGTAGCGAATGAGTGGAGGGAAGTCTAGATCGATATGGCGTAGATGGTCACCATTTCATTATTACCACGACGGTCCGCTATCGGCTATTGACTCCGAGCATCCCGGCGTGCAATCTTATTACAGTCTAGGCCAGCGCTTTGGCGTTGGTTAGTACATGCGAGAATAAGGAATTTAAGGATCCCCTTGCCTACTACAGTCGTAGGTGGATACTCTGCATGTGTGTAGCAGAAACAAGGGATCACACACCGGGTTGTAGTGCTCAGTGAGTGTACAGCTGTGCCGAACAAGCGCAAGCATGCAGCGTCAATTTGAGAAATCAATCGCTCTGCTTAACAATCCGCGCACATACATTATAAAAGACTCGGGTTAATGACTTATAGATTGTTATAGATTGCAGTCTCGCTACCGCTGTGTGTGTGTGTGCGTGCGTGCGTGCGTGCGTGCGTGTGTGTGTGTGTGTGTGTGTGTGTGCGCGCGTGCGTGATCTCTCTCTCTCTCTCTTTCTCTCTCGCTCTCTCTCCGTGCGTGTGTATAATAGATATGATTAGCTTAGATATGAAGAGCTTACATTCGCACCTACGCGCCGTTCTCATCTGACGGGCGGCTCCTGATATAATCATGAATGCCACACCGCGACTCTAACGCTACAACGCTCACTTTTAATATAAACTTTCACTGTTTACGCATGCCTGAATACGGACAGGCCGTGAATTTTCAGGGGCAAGGCGCTGCCCCCGTCAGCCGCACAGTTGTGTGTGTGCGTGCGTGTGTGCGCGTGGGGACTGCGTGCGTGCGTGTGCGTGCGCGTCTCTTATATGGTGTGTGTGCGTGCGTGCGTGCGTGCGTGTGTGTGCGTATGCGCGCGCGCGCGTGTGTGTGTGTGTGCGTGTGTGCGTGCGTGCGTGTGTGCGTGCGTGTGTGTGTGTGTGTGCGTGTAAGCTTCCACGGGCATGAACGGCGTTTAACTAAATCGCGCATTTCCTGAGATTAGAGCCGCGCCAGCAGGGCGGGTCGCGTGGGTGTGACAGTTTAGATGCATGGCGTGGGTCGCGCCCGAAAACCCCGCGAAATTTCAACCTGGTTGGATAAAGAGAATAAAGTACCCCCACCCCCGCCGCCGCCGCTGCCCCCGCCACCACCATCCATTCACGCGCGGTGTAGAGTGTAGGGACTTCGGAATCGCTTCAGATTCAATAGCGAATTGATATATGCGCGCAGAGAGCATTTATAGCGGCGGTTTGGCGCGCAAGGGGCCCTCTGACAGGAGACGGTCGCACACTGCTGTATTGAGGCGGGCAGACTGGGAACCGAGACACTCTGAATATAATCATGTGTGGGTGACTGTGTGGAGTGTATAATCAGTGTACACAGCACGGAGAGCTGGGGCATTGTACGCCGTTTGTACAGGTGTGGACCACTCCACGCTGAGTCTGCACTGCTCATACATACATGTATCTATCATGCAAGGCATGTGCGTGCGTGCGTGCGCGGCTGCGTGGGTGCGCGCACAGGCACTTGGAGCGTTTCAATAAAATATAATGCTAAATAAATACGAAAT